TACGAATTTTATTCCGTTTCACACAAATTATGATTGCAGGGGCATGAAAATTTATTTCCATGCTGACCTCAAAACACTTTTACCATAGTTCACGAATTGTAAACTAATTTTGACATTTGCATCACATGCACTAATGAGCCAAAACGTTTCAGATGGAGTGAATATCATTGATCATTTCCTAACAAGGCCATATAAAGGCCTGGGTAGAATTAGATGGTAAGCAAACAATCAGTTCTTGTTATCAACATGTGAGATGGAATAAAGATCTGAGCGACTTTGACAAAGGACAATTGTTATGGCACAGCGACTGGGTCTGATGAGTCCTATTATTACATAACGTGTACACAGCCATGTAATTGTGTGCCGTTTACCTGGGGAAGTGATGGCACCAGGATGTTCTTTGGGTGGTGACAAGTCGGTGGAGGGAGTGTGATGCTCTGGGCAATGTTTTACTGGGGTTCATGTTCATATTTGGTATGCCACCTACATAAACATAGTTGCAGACCAGGTACTACTCTTCATGAAAATGGTGTTTCCTGGTGAAAATGACCTCTTTCAGCTGGATAATAAACCACACTGCACATATTGTTCAGAATGTTTTGAGGAACATGATGAAGGGTTCAAGGTGTTCACAATTTCCCCAGTATCCCAAGGTGTTGATCTGGTGTACATGGCTTTCTGACATTTGTTAACTTGCTCGCACTTGTGATGCGGAGCTCTTTGGTACGAGTCCAATGGCACAAGAGTCATGATAAAGTAGCTCAAGGTCTTGTAGACGTGAGCTAAAATGGCAGGGTTGCAACAGAAAATGTGTTTTTTACTATGCTATCTCACGACCAATTCGTACGAATTCGTGCGAGTGATTCAAAAGTGGCTAATTCTTACTAATTCATACGACCTCACTCGTACGAATTCGTATGATTTGTCTAAACCCACCTGACGGTTATGTTTAGGGGCGGGGTTATGTTTCTCGCACGTCTACCTGATCCCACGCTCACTAAGACATGCACAATGAGTTGAATCATGAACTACTTACATGATGTTGTACCTTTGGAATCTGATTTCTGTGTTTTTTAATGGCTTGGCAACTGTCAGGATCATAACAGAGGTGCTAATAAATATAAACATTACATCATGCCATGTTTTCTCCTGACTGATTAAAAACTTGTGTAAAGTTGATTGATTTATTGTTTCTATAATGACGCGCACAAGAAAAACAAAGCCGCACTGTTTCAAAACGATCACACAAACACATTTTGTACATACACAGGCTATTTGTTCAAATGTAATGCTTTGCAAAAGGAGCCCGATAACAATAAGCAAAGCAAGTTAATTTCCTCTTGAAAAGTGAGTGTTTGTGATTGTTGATGGAGCCCTTTTGAGATTTTAGAGGGTATTTGTGTGTGTTCTTGCTGAATGTGTTGGTGTGTCTGTTTCGTGTAAGTGCGTTACGCAAGCGGACACTTGACAATCCAATGACACCGCCAGTGTCAGTTGATGTTACACATTCATATGAAACCACCAAATGCACAAAGTCACTCGTTTACACATGAGGAAGGAGAAGTGATCATAAAACATATTAAAATAAGGATTAAAAAGAGGAAAGAGAGATTGTGATGGCAACAATGACATAATTCAACTGATGTTTCAGTGACAGAGGAAACATTGATTGACCTTTGTGCTCTATTTCTTCACAGTAAGAGAAATATATAGTCATACACTCCACAAAAGTCCTATACATTGTCCACTTGATTGCAAAATAGAGCCAGACCGATATTATCGGCCGATATTAGGCATTTTCCAAACTATCGGTATCGGCAGTTATAATGGCCGATAAATGAATATTTCAAAAATAAAATAAAAAGTGTTGGAGTTGTATAGTTTGTCCACCAGAGGGCACTCTACACCGTTCCTGTTGGCAACACTCGTTGAGTTGGTCACGATACATACATTGCTTGAATAACAATTAAAGGAACATCCCCATCAGTTCTCTTAACTCAAATAAACATGACAAAATTTGTGACTATCATGTCCAGTTTAAATAAATAAATAAAATATCGGCCGATATATCGGAATATCGGATTTTAAAACCCAAAAATATTTGTATCGGTATCGGCCTTCAAAATCCTTTATCGGTCGGGCTCTATTGCAAAATGCATTGCTTTGAACTGCAGAGTAGTATGTCCAATGATATGGATCTATGCGAAAACATGCATTTCACTTATGATATTTGGTTTACAGTTTTGCTAATTAGCTAATGTTTTAAGCTATGAATAATATTGCTCTGTTTAACACATTTGACCATTTTTAAACAATAGTTCACCTAAAATTTAAAACATCAATTGCTCATCCTCAAGACTTTTGTTCAGTAGGCTAAGTGAAGATTATGTCCCTTCAAGTCTACTGACCTAAAACATCTTCCTTTGTGTTCTGAAGATGAACATACTTGTGGGTTTGGAACGAAATGTCTGAGGACAAAATTTTCATTTTTGGGTGAACTAACCCTGAGGACACAGAGATAGTAAAAAAAGTGTTTGATTTTGTGTGTGTTCTCGGTTAATGGGCAGATTATAGCTTTCTGAAAAGTTTGTATTTTAAGAGGCACCGTTTTTGTCTTAGAAAAAGCCTGAGTATGTGTGTGAATGCACACTAAAGTGATGGCGAGATGAATTCCTGGTGTTTCAAGTGTGTCTGAGTGTGTAAAAGGCATTCTAAATGTTTTTTAGTCCTGGTGCCAAATGGAAACACCACAGGCACTCCAAAATGAGCTCTCTAAACCCGAGTGAGAGATTCACTGTCATTCTCTCTTTCTCCTCTCGTCTCGCTGTCCTCTCCCAGTCATCTCAACCCTAATCTTAACCTCTCGCCATCCTGCTCTTCTCTTCTCCTCTGTGCCACTCCACGGATTTTTTTCTTTCCATTCTCACACTCTCCTCTTTCACTCTTTAATTTATCCTCTTCTTCCTCTTTTTCCATTCTGGCTCTTTGAAAAATTCTTCTGTCACATTGAATTCTGTTCTGACATAGAAGTTCTGGAGAGCTATTTAAATGTGACGGCAGGGAAAATCTTACTTCCCTTAAGGACAAATGCCGTAACTCTTAAAGAAATAGTTCACGAGAGAAATTCTCTTGTCCTTTACTCAGCCTCGTGTCATGGTATGACTTTCTTTCTTCTGTGGAATTTAAGGTAATGTTATGCAGCATGTTCACAGTGTTCTTTTGAGTTCAGAAACTCAAAAGTGCTCTCTAACCCTATTAAAAGGGTATAAAAAAATCCATAAAATTGAATCATTGTTATTTTTACTAATGGTTACCCATCATTTGTCATAGTCTCTAATTATTCTCACACCTTTACTGCTTGAAATTCTTCCTGGTGTTTATTAAATATTATTTGATTGTCTTTCTGCATCACACATGCTTTTTTTTTTTTTTTGGTCAAGTCACCTTTATTTATATATATATATATAGCGCTTTTTACAATAGAGATTGTATCAAAGCAGCTTCACGGTGATAACATGAAAATAATACACGCACTTTGTTTCTAAAATTGCGTCATCATCCACCTGAAGTAAGTATATTAAATGTCCCCAACTAAGCAATTCAAAAGCCAAGGCAACAGCGGCAAGGAACCAAAACTCCATCAGGTGACAGAATGGAGAAAAATTAAAAAATTAATTAAAAAATTAATTAAACACATTTAATTAAACATTTTAAAAAAAAAAAATTAAATATTAAATAAAAAAAATTTAAAAAAAAATTAAATTAAATATTCACAATATTTATCCAGTTCCATCTGGTTGGAGGTCATTACGCCGGTATGGAACGAGTTTGTTGAGGTGTCCATGAGGCCTTCAGGGATGTGTTGTGGTCATGTCCAAGCGCAGGTTCACCATCTGATCTTGACTTAGTAGTCCTCGGAATAAATGTAAAGACTAACTTTAGCGTATAGATGCCATTCTTCTTGTGATGTAACGAGTACATCGGGTGTTGTAGGAAGTGTGACCTAATCTATGCAGCCTAATAGTAATCATTTAGCTGAAATGAATAATATAAATGTATAATGTTCTATGAGAATGCCATAAAAGTAATGTGTTTTTAGTCCAGAGTGTCTCTGCTTCCCGGACAATGTTGAATGGGCAAATGTTGGTCTCTTTGCTACGGCTACCCGTGATAATTATTCCCAGTCTAATGAGGCAATAAAATAGATTTGTTTGAGGCAAAGAGATAAAATTGTTAGTCATTATTCACTGAAAATTCACTGTAGCCAGATATCGTCTCCGCATGCACATTTTCAAATTGAAATGTGAAGATAACATTTAAATATGTTTATCACACAAAGCTCTGCTGCATGTTTTCAGAAGGCTTGATAGTTTGTCATGGTATTTTTATTGTGCTTTCTTGTGGCTTGACAGCCACCGTAGAATGATTCTTTCAAAGTGATGTTTGAAACACAAGGATGAGTAAATGAAAGAAATAATAAAGAAAGAAAGAAATTAAATAAGAAATCTCTAGCAAATGTGTCCCATCAATGTTTTGAAGCTACTTGAAACTAATTTATACAGATTGCTCATGTTTTTCATGGCTTGGCTTCATTCAGTTATTTGCTCTATGTAGAAAAAAAAAACTTTATATAAAGAACAAAAGCTAAATCTACAAGCAAATATCTATGTGAGCACCGCCAACTTTCCCAGCTGTATTTTAGCCAAAACCACAGTCACACGTCTCACACACACTAGAAGAGAGATGCCGTCCCTGCTGAGCTGTTCGCTGTCAGTGCCAAAGTCCATCTTTTAGTCTTCCCATCAGCCTTATAACTCTCAAATGAAGATCAAACATCAAGTTTTTGCATATTATTGGCATATTTGAAAGCTCAGCAAATGTTTATTTAATTATACTCTCAGTGTTTGCTTTCGAAGTTTGTTGAAAACCATTTCTCCTGGACAAATAATGTGCAATAAATCCTATATACAATGTTTTTTTGTTGTTTTTTTTCCCCACAGAAATGTTGGAGTCCAACAACCTGCTCACTTTCAATGGATTGGCCAACAGCTCTGCCTATCACACCTTTTTATTGGACGAGGAGAGAGGTCGGCTTTTTGTGGGGGCAAAGGACCATGTGCTGTCCTTCAACTTGGTGGACATCAACATGGACCAGCAACTGGTAAGAAAAGGGGGTTAGAATAGCTATTAAACCATTTTTGGTGAGCAGCACTGCACATAGGACATCATTCAAATTAAATTGATGTAGATTTGTTAGTTGTATGGATGTGCAAAGCCGTTTTCATCCGTTTTAAACCGTCACTGCTAACAAATTAAAGCTAATACATTTCATATAACACAACACATAACACATAAAAGTTCTATGTAAAATAGACGTACTTTTAGTCTCTCTTTTTCTCTTGTTTTCTCTCTCTCGCTCTCGCTCTCTGCCCATACAAACATGAACACATCAGCACACAGGGGGATCTGTTTCTAGCGAAAAGAGTATGAATATTTCAGAGTAAAGCTGTCAAACTGATCACATAGAGTCTGGCTGAGAGCTGCTATCCATTCACCTGGATAAATAATGAACAAAATAAACACAGCGAAGTACAGACAAACGGTACCAGGGCAAAACCACAGCCCACTTTAGCTTATATACTTTATAAACATAACCTTCACAGAACAAAGGTAACATAAATGTTACCATATGTGGAAATGCAGGATATATAAGTTATCCTAAAAAAATTACTTTAGTCAGATATCTTACAGGGGCTATATATATATATATATATATATATATATATATATATATATATATATATATATATATATATATATATACGTATATATATATATATATATAGCCTTGTATTATAGCCAAAAGTTTGGATTATACTACTATTTTCAATATTTTTCATATATTATTTAATACAGTAATATTGTGAAATATTACTACAATTTAAAATAATTGTTTTCTATTATAGTCTACTTATAACCTGTGATACTTTAAAAAAAATAAATAAATAACAGCTTAAAATAGAAATATTTTGTACCAATACACAACCATTCAAAAGTTTGGGGTCAGTCATTTTCTTTCTTTCTTTAAAAAAACAAAACAAAAAAAAACTGATGGGTATGCTAAATTGATGATAAAGTGACAGTAAAGACTTATAAAAAAATATATTTTAATTTAATTTAATGTTGTTCTATTTAACTTTTTATTTATCAATGAAAAACAACCAACATTTCCAACATTGATAATAAATCAGCATATTAGAATGATTTCTGAAGAATCATGTGACACTAAAGTCTGGAATAATGGCTGTTGAAAATCCAGCTTTGCATAACAGAAATAAATGATATTTGTTTTAAGTATATTAAAATATAAAAGTATTAATTTAATTTGTAATAATTCTTTCTGTTTTTGATCAAATAAATACAGGCTTGATACGCATAAAAGACTTCTTTAAAAAAAAAAACAACAAAAAAAAAAACATTAAATTAATCGTGACTACATTTTTTGACCAGTATGCTGCTATTATACTATTGATTTATAATTATCTACGTTATAATTATGTTTACTGCATAGTAAACGGTGTATCAATATACGTAGACAAAATACAAGTGACTTGTATTGCCTAAATACCATTAGGTAAACATTTAGAGAGGCAAGAATAATTGTATAGGACTCTGGTGTACTCGCAACTGTCTACAATGTTGTACATCATATCGATAGTATCATGATAGAGTGATTCTGAAAGTGCCTACTCTATTCATTGTCAGACAATTTGATTTTGGCCTACGTTATATCTTGATTTAGACCTATGTGTAACAGAACAAAGTGTTTGTTTACCTTCGCTGCGGTTTCGCCTGCCGACCACACACACTAGCCTACTCTAGAGTTTTCGACCTTAGAAAACGGAGGCTGAACTCTTTAGTCAAGTCCGAAGCAAGACAATTAACCCACAGCAATACGTTATGTCAACGGCACCTCAGACTGACAGAAACGTAAATAAGCATGAATTTAGGCTAGGCTACTTTAGTTTTGTACACATTGCCATGTTAATTATAATCAAATGCATTTTTTTTCTCCACAATATTATCATTGATATTTGTTTGATTGAATTTGATAAAGGGCGGGGGGCTCGAGAACCAAAAGCCTCTGCACTGCCATCAGGAGCTGTATTACAGCACCTCAACTCTCTCCAGCCACAGGGAGAACGTAACTCGCTGTGACAGCAGTCCCATAGAAACTAATACACTTCCATTACTTTTCCCCAATGAAGCCCTCTTACACAATTCCTAAGATTTACACATCTGTAAAGTTTTTTTTTTTTTTTTTTTTTTTGAAGAAATTAATATATTTTTTTTCATAAGGTTTTCATCTGTTACGAAAATTAATAAATGATGTTCATGAAATAATAAAAAAAACAAGTTTTTTTTTTTTTATTGAGCAGCAAATGAGTATATTAGAATGAGTTCTGAATGATCATGTGACACTGGAGATGAGAAATTATGCTGAAAATGTAGCTCTGACATCACAGGAATACATTTTATTTTAAAATAAATTCACATATAAATCTTTTATTTAAATTTTTAATTATTGTTCACAATATTAAAATTGTTACTATATTTTTGATCTAATGCAGCCAACCCGTCATACATTCAGAAGTTTGCTTAGACTATGTTGAAAATCATGTGCAATATGTATGATCTTTGATCTATGCTGAATAGCCTCTCGTATGTGAGTAACAAAACTAAATTTTATTATTATAAATATTATATATACACTGTCTTTTTGAAGATTGCTAAATTCATTCCAAAATGGTTATCAGTACTTTGAAGTGTGTGTTGCACACGTGTGATTCAAATTGTAAATATGTTCCTGCTTAACTTGTTTCTATGCCACATTGCATATAGTGAACTGCTGCTTCATTCGATTTTAACCAGTTTTTAGCATGAAAATGTGTATTATTTATTAGCTATAAACAACTAGGTTGCTACTGTGGTTCTCTGAGGGTTAGACAACCAGAGCATAGCTTTAAGGAAATAAAAAAGAGTTAGGTTATACAACTAGAAGCTTCCAACAAAAGATGTCCCAGTAATCTTTCCCCTTTAACTTTCTGTCTCTTTCTCTCTCTTTGACTGGTAGATATCCTGGCCTTCTTCACCTTCTCGAAGAGATGAATGCAAGTGGGCTGGGAAGGACGTCCAGGTAAGTGCTTTTCTTTAGCTTTTTTTTTTTTTTTTAATTCTGTCCCCTCCATAACCCTGAGATCTGTCGGATAGACTTCACTGATGCATTGAATTGCTTGTTTGTCTGCACCATTCCACTTCTCACTGGTTCACCTCTCATATATTTCTCTGTATAGCACATTTTTTTTACTGTATGTGTGATTTATAAACAAGATGAAACTACAGAAATGCAGGGCATAATAAAGATTATGCACAAGAATTTCGCACTTTAATAATGTTTATTTTACCAAAACCAGTAATAATGATAATTTCCCACCCTTTTTAAGAACAGAATCTGTTGATAAAGTCATGTTTGTGACTTTTTGCCAAACCGTTCAGAAGTTATAAACAAAAAGAGTTCCTGACCACTAGGTGACACTGTGCTGAAATTGTTCAGGTAGCCTCCGGTCAAGTTTGGTCAGAAGCATTGCTGAGATATAGCCGTCTATTTTGGCTTGCTCTTCGTCGAATTCGTTTGTGTGTTACTCGAGAACAGTTTGACAAATCAACTTGAATTCCATAACTTTTTGACTGCATGGTCTGAAGATGATCTGGTTCGACATTTGTGAAAATCAGAGCAACGGCCTAGGAGGAATTTGACAAGTTTTTTTTTTTCCTGGAAAATTCTAAATGGTAGTTATTAGCATAAACGTGAGTGCATTTTTAGACAGTTGGAGGCACTAGATGGATTGAGTTAGAGACTCCAAATTTGCTATGTTGACAATTCTAGCTGTCTTCTATTTGAGTGCCAAATTTTGTAACTTTCCCGTAAGCTGTTCTATGGGCAGCCGTAGATTTCCAGAGCGGAAGAAGAAGCAATCCGCTAACAATTACAATACAGTAGGTGCCGCATCATTGATGTTTCGCCTCTAATTACATTTTAAAATCTATTAAAATAGAAAACATTTATTTCAAATTGTCACAATATTTTACAGTATATCTGCTTTACTGTATTTTTAGTCAAATAAATACAAACGAGACTTCTTCAAAAACAATATGTCTACATAGTACATCAGATTTCAAAATAACAAAATACCTTTTTTATTGAAAGTAAATGTAATGTTTGAGATGGATCAAAAAAAAAAAAAAAACATGATTGGTTTGCTTTTGACAGGAACCTCTCGTTCTGAGAAGGTAAAGCTGAGCTTGTCTGTCATCCACCTGTTGCTTTCACAAACAGTGTTAAAAGTTTCTCCCAAAAGATAAGCTCAGCAGATGTCAATGAAATGATGAACAAAAAAACAAATCACTGAATTGTGGGACAACGGTGTGTAAACACTTTCCAGGCATAGCTCTCATAAATTCCAATGCAGATCCTGCCCGAGGCGCTGCCTTGAACATATAGAGCCATAGAAAGCAGCACTCAACCCTGTTAGCATCATAAAGAGACCATAAGGTTGGTTGGTTCTCAATGGTGCTTATTTGAATTGCAATAACATGCATTGTGTGAGATTTTGATGTAAACATGTCTCGATGAATAGCAGGGTACTCACTGAAAGATGGCTTTTATGTGAACAGAGGAGTCCCGATGAAAAGAGACAAATTGACTGAGGCTTGTTTGAAGTGAATTGGGACGATGTCAATTTCAGGCCCTTTTGATGGACGAGGAAGGCAGAAAACTGCTGGTTATGTTGAAGGATCTAAGCCGAGATTTGTAAGAAACAAAAAAGGAGTGAGATCAATGATCATCGTGGACAAAAACTTCCATTTATGTTGGCGGCAGTGCTCCATGTTAGGTCAAATTGTCTCTGGAAATGAATTAAACTTATTTTTAACTAAATTACTATTTATATAATATTTTATTACATTACATTTAATTGCATTACATTTCATTACAGATAGGCCTTGGCAAACCCAAGATAGAAGTGTGCATGGACAAAGCAACCTTTTAAAATCTCTAAAAACTGATTTTCGTATTGGTTTTTGTGCAATTTCACTATCAAACAAGGTGCATGGAAATAACAAACCACTATAAAGAATAGAAACCAGCAACACTGATTGGAGAACTTAAATTTTAATTAAAACAATTAAAATTTTTGTCCTGATGACATGTCGGTTTAAATAAAGTATTCCCATTAACAAATACTTGTTAACAAATACATTAACAAATAACTACTTGTATACAGTGTAATATCTGTTGGTTTCATTGTACATATTTAGTTACTGCTATAATTACAATATTGATGAGGTAGAATAAGAAGCCAGATCTTTGAGTCACGTATTATATGTTGTCATACTTTTCTTTAAACCTTTTCCACATCGGATGAGTCACTTCAGTCCGTTCCAGATGAGGCTTGCTCAGACACGTGGCTTTAACACAACTGAGGAGCTTCTGAACATACACACACACACACACACACATTTCCATAGGCAAAATCCCAGCTCAGAGGCTACAGTGCAGCTGACAAACACACACAATATCCCTGAGAGTATAGGCCACTGGAGCTCTGGATGCCCATAACAGGGTTTCCCTGCAAAAGCACTAAACACCCTGCTGAAAAACAATTTCAGCTGTAGTAATATTTTCCTTTTAATGAAGCGCTTTGTGGGAGTGTGTTGGTGAGCCGTGAGCCCGTGCCGCTGTGTGTGGAATTCTGCTGCATGTGTGAGAAAGCAGGATTTTGATGCATACTTACAGACGTTACATCCTTTTGCCACAATAAACAGGGGACTTATTCAATATTATAGGGCAAAAGATGATTGGATTAGTCCACAGATTACAATGTAACAAACACATCATGCAACATTAACCTACTGTATGTTTGGGCCCTATAATATTGAAGGTTATTGAGGAATATTGAGCATTTGAAAGTCATGGTTTGTGCATGTATGAATAATTTCCCCTCAATTTCACACGTGTCCTAGCAGAGTAATTACGGGTTTAGGTCAGTACATTAGTTGTGTTCCACTAACTAGATTGCTACCAGAAAAAAAAAGTTTAGGGTAAGTAAGATTTATTTATTTATTTATTTATTTGTTTGTTTGTTTGTTTGTTTATGTTTTTGAAGGACAGTTATACTTACCAAGGCTCTATTTATTTATTAAAAACACATGTATGTACAATATGTAAAATTCTTACATTTTAAAATAAATGTGTATTATTTTTTTCAGGATTCTTTGATTAATAGTTATTTTATTTTAAATGGATTTTTTTTTTTTTGCATACAAATGCATTTTTAGCTTTATGTATATGTAAAAAATATAGGCCTATATACAGTATATATATATATATATATATATATATGAAGAGTTCAGATGCAAAAGCCTCTAAATGCCATTTGAAATTTTCTTCTTTAATGATGATTTTTATCAAACTTGTATATTTAAGTTCAGTAATTTCACTTAAATGGCGATGATAATTACCTATTAATTGTTATTTAAGTGAAATTACTGAACATAAATATACAAGTTTGATAAAAATCATCATTCAAGAAGAAAATTTCAAATGGCATTTAGAGGCTTTTGCATCTGAACTCTTCATATATATATATATATATATATATATATATATATATATATATATTGCTATTTTGGATTTTGTTGACATTAAGTGTGCCCTTAAGTATAAGAGTACCCTTAAGTATCCAAAATACTTGTGCCAGTGTGTTTGTGTTCGTACATGGTAGCCTATATGTAGTCCTCATGAGTAAAACGGCTTGTAAATCATACTAAATTAAGTGTTTTGAAAATCTAAAGATTCAAGAGTTTTGTGTGATGGGTAGGTTTAGTGGTAGAGTTATGGAATAGTACGGTCTGCACAATATAAAAATCATTACGTTCATTGGAAGTCCGCATAAAACATGAAAACGTGTGTGTGTGTGTGTGTGTGTATGATAAGCTGTCTGTGTCTGTTGCCATTTGTTGACACAGATGGGATGTGTTTATTTATCTGAGAACGCAGTGACGACCGTGAATCATGAAATGCTGGTGCACCACTGATTTAGTTTGCTTTTCTCTCTGTCAAGTTCAAGACCGTTGTTTTGGAAGTTTCTGTTGGTAAAATATTGCCTATATCAATATAAATGTTGTTTTCTGATCATTAAATGCAATGTTGATGTTGACTCTTTCGCTCTCTCTGCAGAAGGAGTGCTCTAACTTCATAAAGGTTCTGCAGCCGTTTAACCAGACGCACTTGTATGTGTGTGGAACAGGATCCTTCCATCCCGTCTGTGCTTATGTGGAAGTGGGCAAACGTCCAGAGGTAAACTCATCACATCAGTTAATCTTTCACAGTTTATCGGCTATTCTATTCGGTCACATTGTTGTGTGACTTTTGATTATTTAGTGGTCACATGTAAGACCATAAAATTTCTCCTCCCTGTTAGCGAATCACTGAGCAGCCTTTCAAGAAGTGTTTAACAATGAAACGTGAATTAAACTTGATGAATGTTTCTTTGTGGATTTGCGTAAGATTGATTGTGTGCTCGTTTCTATCCAGGACAGCATCTTTCGCCTAGGGTCGTCAAACTTTGAGAATGGCCGTGGAAAGAGTCCCTATGACCCCAAACTGCTGACTGCTTCCATGCTGATTGGTGAGTGTGTGAGACAATTTGATTTGTTTTGCTTAATATTTCATTTAGTGTAATCCCGTCACATTTGATGGGACATTGAAGTCACACTTGCGACCAAAATGTAATTTTATTGGTTGGTGGATGTAAATTATTCAAACTATAAATTGGAACGATATGTTCTTCACTTTTAACATGGGTGGTGTAAATAGTCACATGACCCCATTGCCCCTCTGAAAGATGTTTGTGTCAGATCCATAAAATGAAGCAAGTAATAGGTTACTGTAAACACTAGTGTGGACGGGGAGTATTTTCGACACTGTATTTTATTTGTATTATTATGATTTTTTTTATTCTAAACTGTTTTAATTATTCTGACTTCTTTAATTTCTTCCATGTAAAGCACTTTGAATTGCCACTGTGTATGAAATGTGCTATATAAATAAACTTGCCTTGCCTTGCCTTGCCTTGCCTTGCCTAAAATTTAAGACCAGTGGAACTGATAACACTGAAACATATTGGTATCTGACTGATTCATCAATAACATAATTATTTATTTTACTATATTTCTCTTTTCTGGACTTATTTAATCATTTTGTGTTCATTTATATAATGAATATGAATAATAATAATAATAATATAAATTATTATAAAGTAATAATAAAGTTAAAGTTAACATTGCTATAATTACAAAATGTTACAACAAGATATATTTTAATACAAATCATTTTTCCTATACTTTACTATACTTGTTGTGATGTCAGTCTGTGTTCCCCTGTCTTTTCATATTTATCAGTTCCCTGTCATGTTTATTAGTCTCCCCAGGTGTTTCAGATTAGCCACGCCCTCTTATTTTCTAACATTGGAAAACGGCATTTTTGTAAACACTCCCCGTCCACACTAGCGTTTTCAGGTGTTTTCCGACGTTTTAGGCTATGTTTACACGGAAACGATTCTGAAAAGAAAACGCAAAAGTGGCGTTGCGTCATCACTTTTTATTCTGTGTTTAGACGAGCGTTTTGTGTGGGAAATCCGCGTGCAAAAAGGTGACGCAAAAGTGTATGAAATTCACACTTCAGGCGGCTAGAAATGCATACTACAACAACACCAAGCGTTTTTACCGTTTACACGGGAACGCGGTGGTGGGGCGTTTTTAAGATTTCCACTCTGAAGGGTGGTTTCACTTTTTTAGCGTTTTTAAGCCTCAAAAATGCCGTCGCGGTATAAACGAAAGGCACAGCCGATAAAATATTTTTTACGTTTTCACCTGCGAGCGTTGTCGTGTAAACAGGGCCTTAGTGTGGATGAGAAACTTCTAAAATTCACCTTAATCGGCATGCGTGAAACCTCACAAAAGCTCACCGAGATGATACAGATGGAAAAATAACAACTTATCACACAATTCTTCACACAGGATCACTTTATTTAGTAAAATATCTCACTATCACTGATAAACCGGCCAAACCGGAGAGAAAAACATATGTTTTCAGATGAAAACATATTAGTATGGACATGGCCTTAGTCCAGTCTTTAGCCCCTTTCACACATAAATTCCGGAAAATACACGGATAATGTGACCTGGCATTTGTCCCGGGATTGTTTGATTTCGGTTCATTCACACTGCCAGTGATTTCCTGGGATCTGTGAGTGCGTTCACACACAACCTGTAAAGATCCCGGAAAGGCACATGACATCAGGATGAGACGTGTAACGTACCCGTCGAAAACATGTACACCGCAAAGCTGGTGAACGTTCTCAGCATCAGTGCGGATAGTGAGGAGCTCCTGGTTTCTGCTTTGTTCCAGTTTGCAGACATTTGTTCGTCCTTTCTTTGTGGATGACGAACACAAACTTTCTTATAAGAGCAACAGAGTCGCGCGATGGCACGAGTGTCGTCACTATGACACACCCCTTACGGCATTGGTCCTGGCTTTTGTTCACACAGCGCGCGTTCTGGGACTGATTCCAGGAATGTTACTAGGTCCCCAACCCGGCATCGATGCCGGTATCAATCCCGGGTCGTTTTTGCGTTCACACAGAAGGCGTTCTGGCAATTTCCCGGGAATTTCCCGGGATCAACGCATTGTGTGAAAGGGGCTTTTGTGAGTTTGTGTGTTGTTACTATCGATGTTGAGTGCATGTGGATCCTCGTCGTTTCTACTCCATCGTGACAATAATTTACTTCACGTTAATTTGCGTTACTTTTCTTTTTAGTGAGGTATGAAACCAAATTGGGAAAATCTAGGTTAAACAATAATAATACCTATAATTTCTGGTGTCCACACACACACACTGTAATGCGAATGTGTTTTGCCTTGGTTCATGTGTTCTGAATGGAAACTCAACACCTTTGATTAATGGTCTGTCTTCAAGATGACCTGTGCAGACTGTTCCTCTGGTTTAGTGCTCTACCTACAGAGCGTTATACTGTTAAATCTCTCGTCTCAGATTAAAGGTCACTAATGACACACACACAGTCCAATTCTCTCAAGCCATCCCTTAGCGTGAAATTGCCTGTGAGTGTTGACTGTCACACCTCTTTGAATCGTCTTTGAAGCCTTTTATTAAAGTTTACAAAACCCATATTGAACTAGATCCTCTGGCTGCCGTCTCCTGATATTTTATTCTTGCCATCCACTTTGAACTCACATCAACCCTCCTGAATATGAGTTTTAATTGACGTTTTTGATCATCAGATGGGGAACTGTATGCTGGGACATCAGCAGACTTCATGGGCCGGGACTTTGCCATTTTCCGAACTTTAGGCAAGCACCATCCAATCAGGACAGAGCAGCACGACTCCAGATGGCTCAATGGTGAGACGTACAAAAAACACATTTACACACAGCACTCATTACTTTTTATATATTTAAAATGAATGCAAATAGATGCATATACTTTATACACATCCACTACCATTAAATAAATTTAATATTTTTTAATATAAGTTTCCAATGCTCACAAAGGCTGCATTTAGTTGAAAAAAACAGGAAAAAAGCAGTAATATTGTGAAATATTACAATTTAAACTATATATATATATAGTTATCATATATATATATATATATATATATATATATATATATATATGTATATATATATATGATTTTAACAGCACTTTTTTAAGCGTTTTATTATATGGTCGTATTGAAAACAAAAAAGTGTGAAAGTCTCAGAGTAAATGAAAAAATACGTTTTTTTTTCTAACAGCAAAAATAAACTTTATATATCTATATCTCTATAATATGACTTATATATAATATGACTTCTGAGATCGAATCCAACTTCCATAAAAGTAAATTAAACATAAAAAACTTGAAAGGACTGTTTAACCTCCTATACGGGGCATTTATATAATTTTATCTCAACATTTTGATAAAAATAATATTTTATGGCCATGTTTTAACTACCCACACAAATGTGCAGTTTTATATGTGAGAGAAACAGAGAATTCTTTAACTAGAAAAACTGGATTTTTAATCTCTATCTGAAAAAAAAAGTTGTCATGACCTCACAGTTTGCTAATATGTGTGTTTGTGCAAATCTGATGGAATTAGGATTCTATACCAAATAGCGTCATTTCCTCATACTACGTACTTTTTTGTTATCTGAATTAGAGTAAATGAATGCCTTGGCCAGTGGACATGTTTTGCGTCATAGTAGCATGTGTGTGTGTGCTATAGATGTGGTGAGCTGACTGTCTGTGTCGCTGTGGGTTAGTGCCACAGTGCTGGTGATGTGAGCTTGTGTGATGTGGCTGTTGGTTCTCTGTGAATAAAGCAATAATCCTGAATACTCGAAAACAGGCTGTGAAAAGCTGGGGCCCACAACACTGTAAATATACAGACGTTTAGCATCTCACTAACACACACACATAGAGTGCAAAAATAGATTTGACGAGTTAGATTCATTCAACTGTATAGTATAAACAACAACAACAAAAAATAATAAATCGCAATGTGAAATTGTCCATTCTCTTGCTTACTGGTCCAAATTACGGTAGTTTTGGATAAATTATTTTTATACTTGTGTTAATGCATTGTTTGTTGGCTATCCAGATCCTAGATTTGTCAGCGTGTATCTCATCCCAGAGAGTGACAACTCTGAAGATGACAAGATCTATCTGTTCTTCAGAGAGAACGCCATTGATGGGGAGCAAGTTAGCAAAGCCACACACGCCAGAATCGGACAGCTGTGCAAGGTACGCAGACTCTTCAAAATAATATATTGCCTGCCTCATTTTGTAATAAGAAGCTACATTAGCTTAGCCTGGCATGCCAGACCTACATCAAGATTTTTGGGTGCGTCTAGATTTCAAGGCTAACATTAGCTCACAAAAGGAATTCATTTCAAACACTTATATGTTATGAAGAGAGTAAAAACATGTGATTAAAGGTATAGTTCACCCCAAAATAAAATTCTGTCATCATTTAATCGATTTCAAACCTGAAGGTTTTTCTTTATTCAGCAGTAGTTCAAAGTAAGATATTTGGAAGAATGTTTGTAACCAAGCAGATCTCGCCCCTCATTGACTACCATAGTTGGGAAAAAAAAAAATGGTACAGGTAGTCAAAAATGTCAACGCATTCTCACCCCAAGGCGTCACCTTTGACCATGCTTCAATATTTGACGTTTTAGGCGCCCTTTAGCGTCACTTACATGACGCGATCCTACGGCGTCATCTAACTGACGTTAAAGGAAAGCGTCAGTTAGAGGACGCGGTTAGGTTTAGGTGTGGGGTGGGGGTAGGGTACACGCGATCCTAGGGCGTCATCTAACTGACGCTAAAGGGCGCCTAAAGCGTCAGATATTGAAGCATGTCCAAATGCTTCCCAAGGCGTCAGTTAGGTGACGCCTTGGGAGTGAGAATGGGCTGAAAATGTATGTCTTAGACGACTGGAATTATCAGTTCTGTTACAACTTTGCCCCAGATCCACCCAATCCTCATTTAAAAAACACCTCTTCCTACATTTTCGCAAAACTCCAAACATACAAAGGCCTACAATTCACTGAAGTTTCCAGCTGAAATTAACTATATGGCAACCTACCTAACCTACCTCCAAATAATTTTATTCCTTTTCATTTTATGATTACAGGGGCAGATTATCTATCAATAAAGACTTATTTTCGTGTGGTTTCATGCGCAATACTATGACCTCAAAACACTTTTCCCAAAGTGCATGGTTTGTAAGCTAATATGCTTTTGCGATGCGATGTCCCATTAAACAGGAGTCACATCAATAGAGATCAGAGACTTGTATTTTTAAAGCAAGATAAAATGGCAAATGTTTTTTTTTTTTTTTTTTTTTTTTTTTACATTTAGTTTAGTTTAGTAAGCTTATTGTCAAACCTGATAGAGAATTAACACACTGGGCATTCAACTGCTGTGATACATACGTACAATAACTAACGTAATAAAACGTCATATTTGTGTTCACTTGATAAAGCCTAACTTGCTTTTAGCACCACTCACTAGGCACTTTGAAAATATCATGCAAAGTTATGTAATTTTGCAAAAATGTCATCACAGACATTTCTTTTTTTCCAGTTGCCCCTGGGTTGTTTTTGTTTTTTCTAAAATAAAAATAGACACACATAATAGCAAACAGTATGAGTATACAGTAGAGAATGAATGCGGCATAGATAATTTGATCTAGGAAGTTTGATTTTGATTCCCTTTTGAAAACTTTGACATTTGACTTTGTTACAGTATCCTGGTGGATTTGAGCACAAGTCTTATTCTCAAGAGAATAATGTGAGGCAGAAGACTGTTTCCTTTTAATTTCATTATCTAGGAAAGAAGATTCAAATATTAACAAGATCTCCTCTTTGCTGTGATGATGCATACACACAAACCTTCTCAATTCCTCTTCTTTTTAGGTGCTAGGTGTCTCATTTTAGGACAGGTGCTAATATGCACATTTAGGTGCTAATATGTACATTTAGGTGCCAATATGTACATTTAGGTGCTAATATGGACATTTGCTAATATGTACATTTTAGGTGCTAATATGGACATTTATTTGCTAATTTGTAGGTGCTAATATGTACATTTTAGGTGCCAATATGTACATTTATTTGCTAATATGTACATTTTAGGTGCTAATATGTACATTTTAGGTGTCAACTTGTACATTTAGGTCCTAATATGGACATTTATTTGCTAATATGGACATTTTAGGTGCTAATATGGACATTTAGGTACCAATATGCACCCAGATAGAAAAGCGTACCTTTTGAAAAGGTACAGCCCCAGTGACAGCTTTTGGACCTTTTTTCCTGAGAGTGTAGGATGGCCAGAGCCAGTGTTTTTGCATTAGGCTTCATCTCTGCTGTTTTGTGGCCTTGCTTTTTACCCCCCACCGTGAAACTTAAGAGATGCCTAAAATGTCACAGGAGCCGTCAGGCAAGAAAACAAAGACTCCTCTGTGGAGAAAATGTGAGACTTTGGCAGACTCGCTCAGCTCAAGTGCGAGTCTACAGCTTGAAGCGGTAGAAAGGTGTTCTCAATTACAGCTCGCTCGGTATTCCGGTATGACTGGAATCCTCCCTTCACCGGCGTAGACAATTGTCTCATTATGCAGAGTGTATGTTTAGTTTTTGCAATGCATTTTTCTAGCCCTGCTAATTAGAGCTGATCAATCCAAAGGGAGGGAGACTGTTTATATTGCTCATGTGTTTCAAATGCCGACTGCCAGGTTTTTGGTGTAAAACGTGTGTGTAAATGAACACACCTAATTTTTGTTTTTAAATCAAGCTGCCGAAATGACTTGTTTTGTTCTTGCCCCTCTTTATTGGTGTAATAGAAGAATATGTTAGCGCACGGCTGGATGTTTATTTTTGATCATGTGAATGTCTCAGTAGAATGCTGTAATCAAGACTTTCCATAATTTGTTAATCCCAGCAGCTGCAATGGTAAAAATGTTGTAAAAGTTTTTAAAATAGTTGAAAAGGATCTACACAGGGGCTTTTATTTTTAAATGATGACCGTTTTTGACGACTGTTTTTAGACATTCTACTATGTCATTTTGCAATTACTTGTCAACTGCCAGTCATTAGAGTATTAGTAGACTGTCTAAAACAACTTGTAAAATAGCTTTAATTAATTTGTAACTACGTCAACTAACTCTCTTTAGAGTATTAAGTATAAGTAGACTGTTGATCAGCATCAAATTATAGTGGTAGCAGATATTAAGTAGACAGTCTACTAATACTCTATGACTGTAGTTGCAATACTCTATGACTGGTAGACATGCAATTGCAAAGTTAGGTGACTAAGAAACTGGACAGATAATGGTATTCTGAAAATCTATATTATTGAATCTTTAAGCATTTTTAAATGTTTAAATGCAGTTGTCAAATAATAAAATACAGAGTTTGTATTAAAGGAGTAGTTCACTTTAAAAAACAAACAAACTTGTAGTTCACTTTTAAAAAATAACTCCTGATAATTTACTCACCCCCATGTCATCCAAGATATCCATGTCATTCTTTCTTCAGTCGAAAATTAAATTAAGGTTTTTGATGAAAACATCCCAGGATTTTTCTCCATGCAATGGGAACCAAACGGTTCAAGGTCCAAAAGACAGTTTCGGTGCAAACTGTTCAAAGGGCTTTAAATGATTTCAGACGATGAATAAGAGTCTTATCAAGCGAAACGATCACTCATTTAAAAAAAAAAAAAAAAAAAAAAAAAAAAAAAACAGTTTTACAAGCTCAAATGGTCGCCTTGCTCCGTTCCGTGATGCCCGTTCGTGACTCTTCTATTCGAACTCGTTCATCAAAATGAACGAATCTTTTCCCCTAGTCAACTCGTTCATTTCGTTTGTTGAATGAACCAAATGACACAAAAAAAGATTCGTTCATTTTGATAAATGAGTTCGAATAGGAGCAAGGCGACCGTTTGAGTTTATAAAACTTAAACTTTGTTATTTATTTTTTAAATGTGTGATCGTTTCACTTGTTAAGACCCTTAGTCTGGAATCGTTTAAACCCCTTTGCACTGAAACTGTCTTTTGGAACTGTTTGGTTCCCAAGTCCCAAGTTTCTCCATTATATGGAGAAAAATCCTGGTCATGGACATCTTGGATGACATGGGGGTGAGTAAATTATCAACAAAAGTTTTTTAAAAAAAAAAGTGAATTACTCCTTTAACAAACGTACACTTAAAACATACACTTATTGGAATTATATGCATTTCTTAGAATTTCCTAATTTAACTTACTTAAATTTAAATTGCAAAACTAGTTCAAGCATCCCAGCATATAGCATTATGATTTTACTCAGGATCACAAACAAACAAAAAAAAAAAAACAGCAACCTTAAAATATGTTTGATACAAGTAGGTTTTAATTTGTTTTTGACAGAACGACTTTGGGGGCCACAGGAGTTTGGTGAACAAATGGACCACCTTCCTTAAGGCCCGTTTAATCTGTTCCGTTCCTGGCCTGAACGGCATCGACACACACTTCGATGAACTACGTAAGTTACCCATGCTATGACAATACCGTCATCCTTTGCACTTCTGCCCTACTTCGACGTATTTAGTTGACCACCCACAGTTGCCTACCTGAAATTGTATTTGATCGTTTCCAGAGGATGTTTTTCTCATGAGCTCCAAGGATCCGAAAAACCCCATTATCTATGCTGTATTTACAACATCAAGGTATTAAAACATCCAATTTACACCAAATTCCCAGTTCCCACCAAGCATTTCTGCTTTTTCTGTCTTTTTATATTCAAAGCTTGATAATTGTGTCTTAAGTCCCTAAAGGTGAACCTGTGACAAAACTCATAATTACTGTTTCTCGGGTTTACAGTAACATCTTTAAGGGCTCAGCGGTATGCATGTACAGTATGGCAGACATCAGGAGGGTGTTTCTGGGCCCGTATGCCCACCGAGATGGACCCAACTACCAATGGGTACCATTTTTGGGTAGAGTGCCGTACCCAAGACCTGGCACGGTAAGACGGCTAATCAGTGCAGATACCTTTGTACAATTAACTTTTCAAATGAAAGTGAATTGCCTGCTTTGATTTTAACACACATTCCCCTGGATGCTGTCAGTGCCCCAGCAAAACGTTTGATGGTTTTGAATCAACAAAGGACTTTCCTGACGACGTTATCACATTTGCCAGAAGCCATCCGGCCATGTACAACCCAGTGTTCCCCATCAATAACCGTCCAATCATAATCAAAACTGATGTTGACTACCAGTTTACTCAGATAGTGGTGGACAGGGTAGAGGCAGAGGACGGCCAATACGATGTCATGTTTATCGGCACTGGTGAGTAGTTTTTTTGTTTTGTTTTTTTTTTAAATAATGTGATTTAAATGATTTTTTTTCATGTTAATCATGTTATTTTTCTACCATAGACATGGGCACAGTTCTTAAGGTGGTTTCAATCCCTAGAGGAACATGGCATGACCTTGAGGAAGTCCTGTTGGAGGAGATGACAGTGTTCAGAGTGGGTTTATAGAGTCTTTTATACAGATTTATTTCTAATAAGTGTAGTATTAGTATTGTTTTTCTTAGAAAACAATATACTGTGCATTCTACACTCTAAAGGCACCATTTATAGACTTTTATCAATTTTCCCCTTGTTCATACTGAGAAATATTTTGTAATAATTTGGTGAAAAATAATATGAGTACATACAAAATAACATCTTTTTACAGGAACCAACAGCCATTACTGCCATGGAACTCTCCACAAAGCAGGTATTTATCCCTTAATGCAATAAAGGTGGTGAAAGCAACTCTTTATACGTGGCGGCATTGAACATGATTCTATTAGGTAGGACTGAGCAAAATAAATGGTTTGATAGGTGAGAGATATAGACAGACAGACAGACAGACAGACAGACAGACAGACGCATTAATACCCAATAGGTCGCATGTGAAGTGAGTTTCAGTGAACTGATCAGCTAAGATAGCACTCTGTGTTTTGTAGGAAAATTGCCATGCTACACTGCATTTTGTTGACAGAGATGATATAGACCAGCCAGATTTATCATGTATCGAAAAACCCCAACACAGCTTTCAGTCTAAGGCTGGGTCACACACGCACACACACACACACACACACACACACACACACACACACGTTGCTTGGCTTCAATCTACATTACGCAGAACATGGTCTGCTGTCACAGTCACTCACAGAACACAGCAACATGAGGTACTGCCATTAGAGGCCACACACACTCTGTTACATACACCAGCTGTTTTTTTACACTCGGGACTGCAGCGTGAGCTCTCCTTTAGACGGTGGGAATAATCAAACAGACACTGAGAGGTTATCTGAAGCGATATATAATTAAAAACCTGCATACAAGCCCAGAGAAAGTTCCCGTATCCTCAGTGAAACAATCTTTAACTCTATCACTATCACACCGGCACAGGACATAAAAACTTTGCCGTCATTGTTTCTTTACAGCAACAACTCTATCTTGGATCCACCATTGGGGTTTCTCAGATGCCTCTGCATCGCTGTGACGTGTACGGGAAGGCCTGCGCCGAGTGCTGTCTGGCACGTGATCCTTACTGTGCCTGGGACGGCTCGCAATGTTCCCGATACTTCCCAACTGCTAAGAGGTACAGTGACGAACACAGAAACACTACAAAGTTGACCTAAGATGAAAATATGCTCCTTTCTGAATTTTGTGCTGTTTATTTATTTTTTTATTTTTTATTTTTTTTTATTTTTTTTACAAGGAGTATCTGAATTCCTTTCAGATTGCTAATATACTTTATTCCAAAAGCTACTGTTTTATTGGTAACACTTTACAATACGGGTGCACTAATAAGCATTAATTCATGCTTAACTAATGCACAGATAATACTGAATTAATGTGTAACTATCTAAGCTATTCATTAATGATTACCACGTTAGGAACTAATTAAGAGTCTGTAAGGTTAATGTAGTGCATACATTAATTGTTTTTAATTAAATATGTAATTGTGGATTAATTCCATAATCACTATTATTTGACTAAAAGTGTTAATTAATATGTTAATTACCAGAATGAGCCAACGCCTTGTATTTCAAATTCCAGATAATATGACAGGTGCACTAATATGCATTGATACATGATTAATTACTTCATTGTTAGTGCAAATTCATGTGAAAATTACTACAATTACTAAATGACTAGTTAATAATGATGTGCCCCAGCAAGTAAAGTCATAACATAATGATACATTTGCAAATCATTAGCTAATGATTAATTAAAGCAGACAACTGAAAGTTTGAAGTGCATAGCTTTGACTAATGTAACACATTAATTTACACTAGTTAATAAAATATGTTATTAAGGAATTAATACACAATGACACAATGAATAAATAGCAATTAATGTATTACTTAATCTATTAATCATATAGACTCTTTAATAGTTGCTGATGCAGGAATCATTAATTAATGTTTTAGTTCTTCATTAGTTCTACATTAACTCATGATTATCCGTGCATTAGTTAAGCATGAATTAATGCATATTGCACCCGTATTGTAAAGTGTTACCTTTTTTTTGTCTCAATTAAGTTTTTTAGTTAACATTTAGTTCAAATTAATAATTTATTTATTTTAAATAAACAAATAAATGCTAATTTGTTTATTTTAGGTTTTAATAGTTTTGTGATTTTTGTCTTTTTCAATAGTGTTTTTTATATTTAGCTTTAATTTATTTTTATTTCAATTAGATGACATGGACACATTTCTATTTATTCTCTTTTAATCTTAAGTTTTCATCTACAATTTGTATTCATTTATTAAATTAGTTAATTTAAATTTATTTTTTAAATGAATTCAAATTAAATAAATTAACGACAACCATTTTTTAAAACAGTTTTAGTTAAAAAAATAACGTCACATAGTTGACACAAAAATGAACACCAGATTGACAATTTTGTCATCATTTACTCATATCATTTACCCTCATATCATTACAAACCTACAGTATACGATTGTCTTTCTTCCATGGAACACAAAATGGGATTTTTAATAATGTCTAAGCTGCATAATACATAATGAAAATAAAATATCATGACTTGGGACTAGCACAAAAAAAGTACATAAGTACCAAAAAAGTTGTCTAAATGACTTTTGCACTACATTCCAAGTCTTCTTAAGCCATATAATAGGTTTGTGGAAGGAACAAACCAAAATTATAGTAGTTTCTCAGCAAATACTGACTTGAATTTCTATCTGTTTCTTTCACAAAGCTAGCACGCATGTTGCATACACTGCATTTGAGATTCTTACTGTATTTTCGATATAGGACTTTAACAGCAGTATTGTTTTATTAACATTTAATAAAATCTATCACAATACATATCACTTTACATTTGACTTCTTGAACTTTTTTGAGGTGTCCATCAAAGCCTCATTGGACTTCCCCACTGTCCATTGTAGAAACTCATCTCCTATGGGCTGTCAAAAGCAAGTGTACCCCCTACTTAATATTTTATCTTCAATTTTCAAAAACTGAACAATACAGGTCTCACATTTACGGTCCATGTCATGTTGCTGTAGCAAGTAATATGTTTGTGGACGAGGTTCTCAGAGAGGTTCTTTGTGCACTACTGGTGCTGAAAATGCCTCACATATTGCCTGCATTGAGTTGCCTCAAAGGTGCATTCAAGAACAAGACGTCTCAGGACATATTTTGCATGATACCTCTTTTCATAAAGGTTAAAGACTAAACAGCACAGAGCTAAAACAGGTTCCATTTCACACACACTTATGCTCACGCAGAGCTGTGTTTGATTTACTTCGAGCATAACAAAGTGAGAGCTTTTCTGCGAGACAGATGTGTGTGGGAGTGGATATGTAAGTTTCAGTGCGCTCGCATTCACCTGACCTCTCTAATTTTCTGCTGTGTGATGTATGCTTGCAGGAGAACGAGGCGTCAGGATATCAGGAACGGAGACCCTCTGACTCAGTGTTCAGATCTGCAACACCACGGTAAATACCTGCGAATATCAGATCGTGTTTATAATGTGTATTAAACGTACTGTATGTTAAGCATGACAACATGTGATCAAGAAGGCAGTCATGGCACATTAACAGGGCGTCATTCTTTCAAAATAAAACTCAGGATGTGCGGGGTAACGAAAATTTAGAAAAAGGTAGAGGAGATAATTGTAACTGTGCATAACAGTGTTTTAATAAAAGCCCTGCATGTGTGCCATGCATTCCAGGTTAGTGTTTAATTAAAGCTTTTGAAATGATACGAGGCCTAAAAAGTCAATACCACTACGTTAATGACACATGTCTAACTGAGAAACGTTTCACAGCTGTTGCACAAATACAGGCTTTAGAACATGCACTTATACACATAGCGTTCAAAGGATTGGGGTCTGTACGATTTCTGAATGTTTATAACATCATACTGTCACCTTTTAACAATGCACTCTTGCTGAATAAAGGTATTATTTTTATATATAAAATAAAATAATCTTACAGAGCCCAAACTTTTGAATGGTTGTGTAGATCACGAGGGCACTGGAATCATGAAGACCACACACAGATTTCCTGTGTCGGGAGTTCTGGTGTAACACACCTCATTACAGTGACACCACTAACCCACAGCACTGCACTCTGACATTTCATAGTCCAAACTTAAAATAATGGTAGAAGAAAATTAAAGGCAGAGGAATAGATGCCCACTAAACACAACAAGTGATTCTCTCTCTCCCTCTCTCGGACTCGAAACACACTGAGAGATATAACGCTGTGATACAGACATGCTGGGTGTGACTTTGTTAGTGTGATGTAGCATATGGTCTGAACTATCAGTTTGCATTCTCACTGCAGGATGTCCTGTCTGTCCGGTCTCTGAATCAAGATTCAAGATCTTTTTATGTTTCTGTGTTTCCTCATCTATCTGAGCAGATGAGGCAGATGGCGAGAGAGATTTGCTGGATAGGGTGGTATATGGGGTGGAGAACAGCAGCTCTTTTCTGGAGTGCAGTCCTAAATCCCAGCGAGCCCTTATTTATTGGCAGTTTCAGAGACACGGAGAAGACCGCAAACAAGAGGTATGTTCTGTTGTGAAAACAGTTGAGTCCACAAGTAAAACCCAACGTATGAGTCCACAAGGAAAGCGCTTCTATTTTCTATTATAAATTGTGTGCATAACAATTTAAGTAAAAAGCTGAATTGAAAAATTGAAAAAAATATATTTTTTTTTTATTTTATTTTTTTTTACTTAAATGCAACAATGATGATCAAGATCTATCCAGCATGATTTAATAATAATAATAATAATAATAATAATAGCATCATGTGCTTTACTGGGAGCAAGAAAGTCTGATCTTGTGGAAGAGTTCACATGATTAATGTTACAGATGTCCTGGTTTGATTAATGACCTAAAAATAGAATCTTAAATATGTCTTATTCATGGTTGCTTATTTATTTATTTATTTATTTATTTACAAGCCAAAATATTTGACCAATATTATGCCAGGCATATATATTACCAACCAAAACATATGACCAATGTCATATATGACAATATGTCTGCAAAATAAATAAATAAATAAATAAATAAATAAATAAATAAATAAAATAAATCTGACATTTTCGATTTCCAATGTGATAATAAATCAGGCATAAGTTTTGAGTTTTGCATTGTTAAATAACAGGTCATAATTAATGCAAGCTTCAATCAATCTTACTCAAAATTCCTTAGAATTGTGGAAAAGGGTATTATACATATATAAAACATTTGTTTATACTTTTATAATATAAATAAAATATTAAATAAATGAATAAATAAAATATTATATAGTATAAAAAGAGAATTATATATATATATATATATATATAAATAATGTAATATAAATATATATTTTTTATTAAATTATTTTATTAAATTATAAATATATTATAAATATATCTAATATAAATATAAGTACATGGACAACTATTTTGTATTTTCTATATTTTAATAAGAAAATATAAAAATATTATATTTTAAAATAAAAAAATATATAAATATATTAGAAAAGATAAAAAATATTTTTTAATAACAATGGTATTGGACTAGAAAATTGAATCACTTTGGTTTATGGGGTGAATGCAGCCAAAAATGTTGATGCTGTTGTTGTCAATGATGTTCACAGTAGCCTACTCAGCATGTGATTTGATCTATACTGTATTTTCATGTCTAAATGTGTTTTAAATGTTTGGGTTTTTTTTAAGATAAAGTCCGATGAGCGGGTGTTGAGCACAGAACAGGGTCTGTTGATCCGAACCCTCCATCAGAAGGACTCGGGTGTGTATTACTGCCACGCTGTCGAGCACGGCTTCATCCAGACCCTCCTTCGCCTCACCCTCAACATCATTCCCTCAGAACACCTGGACGATCTCCTGCACCGAGACACGCCGGGCAGCAACGATCCGGCCAACGGCAAGATGTGGTACCGCGACTTCCTCTCCCTCATCAACCCGCCGAGCCCGAACAGCGTCGACCAGCTCTGCGAACAGGTTTGGAAGAGAGAGCGGAAACAGCGCAGGCAGAAAGCTAATCTGATGCACGGCAGCCAATCACACTCTAGCCAGCTCCTCCACTCCAGCCAATCACACGCCAGTAAGTGGAAGCTGCTACAGGAAAACAAGAAAGGACGCAACCGCAGGACCCACGAGATGCAGCGGGTACCCCGCAGTGTGTGACCAGGACGGCAAATCCAACAAACTTCTTCTGTTCCACAGACATAACGCTGAGACTGAAGACAGGGAGGGTGGAATTCCATTTCCTGTATTGTGCGAGAGAGATTTTCTTGTGAACCAGAGCACATCTTCATTCACGCCTACAGTACGTATTGAGACTCAAACCCTGAGAGGATGTAATGTGATGCTAACAGATACTGAACCACCTGTGAATATGACAAAATATACTGTGAGACAGGTTTCAGTCTGTATAAAAAACCTGTTTCATTTTATGAGGGACAAAACATGAATGCTGAAAAGACTACTGTTTAACCTCTATTTAGCTGAAGCACAATCCCAGTGCATTCTGGGCAATGAACTTGTCAGTAATATTATGTGTATAGAGTGTGTTGAGCTTAACATACAGTATACTGTATATCTTTGTATCAGAAATGTAGGCCCTTCTGTTTACGTACATGTACATAATCTATTAATTAAGGTATTGCTTTGTTCTTGTTTCTTTTCCCTTTTTTTTTTGTCTTCCTCCGTGCATTTTCTATTTTCATCATCTGCTGCAAAAGCAATGCCTCAGCAAACCATTAATGGGGCGGTGTTGTTCCTCTGAATAATCTCTTCCTGTCAAGACAAGAAAAAAAAAATCTTTTCTGCTATTTTTTTAGATTAATATTTAATTTTGTACTGTGCCAGAGTATATCTAAAATATTACATAATAGTTTTATTTTATTATTTGCTGTCCTCATTGTAAACCACTGCATTGTGAGGGTACACAAACCCTCTTCACCAATCTTTTCTCCTCAGTTAAGTTATTTGTTGACTTGATTTCATCTATGTTCACATTCACGTTTATATAAAGCAATTGTGGTCGAGTATGTGAAATATCGTGGCATTTATTACCAAGTACTGCCATTAAGATCGTTTTTGTCATGTTTGTTGCATATATTTTGGAAATATTGGTTTTCACTACATTTACAAAAGACAAACAAATAATTTACGAAAGACCAATCCACACTACTTCTTATCTTTTGACTGCATACCAGTAACTGTATTTTTTTTATTTTTATTGATGGCCTTTCTAACCGCTAAAGAAATACAGGTTCTAGTGTTTAGATTTTTTCTTTTTATGTGACACTCAAGCCCATATTTGAAGTCAACATGGTCACTATGTCCGCAATCCATTTTGCTACTATAATGTGACATTTCTGAATGAAAACGCATTTTTTTTTAATGAATTTTATTCCCAGGGAATTCATTGAATTATGAAAAGTAGGTGTTCCCTACTATATATATATATATATATATATATATATATATATATATATATATATATATATATATATATATATATATATATATTTAATAATTTATTCCAAGATCCAAGAAAAAATAAAATATTTGTTTTTGTAAACTCTCATCAAAACTTGACATTTATTCATGTGTCAAAATCATAAGAATTAACTAATGAGTGGCACCATTTTTTCAATCCGCCTCACTTTCGAATTTAAAAAAAAAAAAAATTGCAATGTTGTTCAAATAAGTCTCTATAATAAATTATAATTTATTTAAGTATGAATTACATATTGTGTAGATATATGTGCATGTGTATATGTATGAAGAGTTCAGATGCAAAAGCCTCTAAGTGCCATTTGAAATTTTAGTAAGATCATTTTTATTAAGCTTATATATTTAAGCTCAGTAATTTCACTTAAATTGCAATGAGGATTACCTATTAATTGTCATTTAAGTGAAATTACTGAACTTGAATATATAAACTTGATAAAAATGATCATTTTAGAAGAAAAATTCAAATTGCACTTAGAGGCTTTTGCATCTGAACTCTTCATATATTATTAAAATATTAATAATATTTGAGACTTTATTTGAGACATATCTTATATATATATATATATATATATATATATATTTTAATTTTCTTTGGAACAATTTATGGACTGATAAAGTAAATAAATCGGAAGTAAATAGTTGATTTTATGTTGACTTTAAATATGAAAGGGCCAGGGAGGACAAATGTACAACTGTTAGATAATATACTGCGTTTGTCCCTCAGCTGAGGAAAGAACAGCTGTGTTCCTAAAACTGCTGGGATCAGAGACAGAACACAGCATGGGACAAGGCTCCTGGACTCCTTGAGAAGTCCTACTTTCACATCTCACCGAATTAGTTTTAGCAAGACTTTTTTTGTTGAGGCCATGCGCACAGCACACGTGTATCTGAATGTAGCTGTGAACTTCTAGACTATGAAAAAATGGTCCAAAATATATGCCACTGTGTACAAACTGCATGTGAATTTACAGCACCACTCACTTCTATACTCGTTTACAGTGGCTGTTCTTGTTAATGAGTGATTTGTCTGGCGTTGGATTCCAGGTGGTGCTTAAAAATATTCTGCTACCCATGACAGATGGTGTTATCGACAGGCCTGATAAACTCTCTCCCATTGTAGCTGAATATATAACCAACAGGAAACCGCTGTAAACTAAAGGATTTCAAATGCAAAACTTAAAAGTGAACTCGACAGGTCAGCTCTGTTTGGATGGACCTTGGGCAGAAAAGGACACTGGCCTTGCTTAGACTTTTGCAGGGACTTTCTTGAACTGGAAATGGGGGACATAAAAATAAGACAAAAATGCTGCTGTAAATTATTCATTTCTGGCATGCATTCTGCTGTTGAAATAAATGTCTCTTCTAAAGAACCTGTTTTAGAGGGGTGGACAGCTGGATGAGTTTGTGTTTCTGATTGCCTTGGCAGCGCTGTTATATTTTAGGTCCTCTGACCGAGGCACCTGGGCCCAGGGAAAATTTCTCCCTGTCTTATGTTATTTGTCTCATGCTGGAGTTCAGTGGGTTCTCAGCCATGAAACTTATAACACTGCTGAGAAAAGCAAAATGCTCAGGGTGAAATTACTGACAATTACTGATCTATCTATCTATCTATCTATCTATCTATCTATCTATCTATCTATCTATCTATCTATCTATCTATCTATCTATCTATCTATCCATCTATCTATCTCGGTATAGTTATCTGTATATTTATCGGTCTATCTATTGGTCTGTCTATCCATCTGTCTGTCTAAATAAGATACAAGTAAAATAAATACATACATATGCATATAGCCTACATACATAGCCTACATACATGTTCATGTTAAGTCTGGGAGAGAATAATTACTTGTTTGTTGGAACCTACATTGGAAAGTAGCCTAATAAAATAAGATGTGGAAAACTTATTAGAAAATGTACCCATATAAAACCACAAATAAAAAAGCGCAGGAAAAAAAAAGGCAAATGGGGGAAGGATTACAGTAAATGTGTGTCCTTCCGTAATAACCAATCATCCTGAGACATAACATTTCTTACCAATCATCGTTTATTAGCTACCCTGCATGCATGGCTCACGCACGCGCTACAAGAGCACAGAGGAAAGTCGCTCAAACATCGATGAAAACAAACAATGGATTACAACAAGTGAAAAACTAAATAACAGGTTCTTTGTCATAACGAAGGAGTGAGAATGGTGGTTATCTACAAAGCTAAGTAGAAGTTAGATGGAATGGGGCCCTCCATTCAGAATGTCTGTGTTTGGCAGAATATGTCGTTGATGTTGACACTGTTGGGTTTTTGATCGGAAATATTATAAGTTGTCATTAATTATCAAAACTTTTTAATCTGTTTGTGAGCGTATCAGCACAACTATAATTACACCAACGTGCAATTTATTCAATGATTCCATATTCAATGATTTCCTGGAAGATATTCTATCTATTTAAAAACATTGCTGAAACGTACATTGCCTACTTAATTTATTAGGGTATGTAGATAGAAATGCATGAAGTTGTTGGGATTTGATCATTCAGAAGCCACGTCCCATTACCACAACATAGCACAAAGGTTTGCCTTGCTTTGAGATGGTTCTTTTTTAAATCAAGTGCCAATGCAACAATGGATTTCTACAGGCACAACAACTCATATCCTCTCACTGAACAAATTATGCCGTTGCCTGCTAAGTCAACTTATATAACTTATATTAATGTGTAGGCTGCTACGGTCCACTTTGACACTGGTTCTATTTGAAATCATGTGTGAATGCAGCGAAAATCAAACATCGGCACAAAATCATTCCAAAATCACATTTAGGCCTTTACTCGCCTGAATGTATTGGTCAAAGGATGTTTAAACCAGACTGTGTGGCAGGTTGCAAGTTAACATTTTCTTAACTTGACAGTAGCTTAGAGAGAATGCCACATTTGCAAAGACATATTTCCTTTCCTTACATTAAAAAAATAATAATAATAATAATAATAATGAATCCAGTGTTTATGTAGCCTACCATAAGATCTAAAACCTATTCTGGAACACAGGCATTTGCAACTATGCTATCTCTGTTGTGTCAATCAATGCATCATTTATTAAATGAGTTTATTTGTGAAGACTATTTGCTAGTAAGCAAGTGGCCTACCTATAAACCAGACCAGAACACCTTTGTAACCTAAAAAAAAAACACCCTGTTCTGTATTTTTTTTTTTTTTTTTTTTTTTTTTTTGCAAAGGCCAAGCACCACTCACATTTTCCCCAGAAAAATGCAAAGCACAAGTTTTTAATTACTTAAAATAAAAGGACATGTCTGCCATCTAGTGGTTGATTCTGTTACTGCACTTTGAAGGTTTTTATAATCCAGAGCTTTCCAGGGAGTTGATTTACGACAAGGCCATCACCACTAAATGAATCTATAAACACTTTTATAGCATTCTTTAAATCCTGCTATACCCAGCTCAGCAGTAACACATGTGAGGAACAGATTTATATTTGTCGGTGAGATAAAAAAAGTGAAAGGGTGATCGGGACTGACAGTCTAGTATTCAAAGACATTGGGTCAATTGTATTTGCTTATGAACTTTTTGAACTCCCTCACACTCAAAGGTGACGGCTGGTCATGTATAGTGTCTTGAGGTCAGAGGTCATCCCAATTGCCCCACAGACTGCTCTGTGGACACAGATGTGTGTCGTAAAAGTCCATATCTATGAACGAGTGCATTTGTGGTTGTGTGATGAATGAACTGGGCAGGATTCCATGGTGTAGACCATTGACACTGGGAATAAATGCCCAGAGCTCAGTTATTTGAAGTTTTCACCTTTGGGAGTGCTTTAAACCAAATGAGCCTGTGTGTTCCATGATGTGTTGAGCCATGTTTTTTGCATGCACTGCAAAATGTCTGTGACACTTAATCCAGGCCATACGAGCTTTGGACAAATGTGTAACATAACGGCAGGCCCAAGTGTGTTTACTTGTAGAGTCATTTGTAAGCAAAACAAAAGCAAAACAAACTATTAAAACACAATCTTAACAGCTTGTTTAGTTTTATTAAGCTCAGGAAAAAACAGGATGCCATCATTTTTGCCAGCTGGGTGCCCAGAATGTGGCTTAGTGGCAGGGATGTTTACACTGCTTTATCAAAGAGCGTGAAAACCTTCATGTGAGACAGCACTGTGCTTTTTATTATGGTTCAGAGACAGCAGCATACTTTAATGGAAAATTCCTCCAATATGTTTCTAACACATGCTGGCTATAGGTCTATATCTCAGTCTGGTAGATGAATAATTATAGATATGTTTAGTAAAATATATATTTTTATATATTTAAATAAATATATATATATTAGAAACGGACATTTCCATCTATTCAGTCGTGTCAGAATCTCCATGCTCACCTGTCAAGCACTGCTTCTTTCAACTCTCTTATGTTCATATTGGTGTCTATTTTGAATATGTCAAGTCAGCAAGTTCTTTCTTGTCCCCTTCTTCTGTATGTCCTCCTCTTCCATATGTTATTCATACTAGCCATTGCAGTATG